AATACCACAGCGATTTTTTTACTCATTTTCAACGAGTTGTAACTTTGAAAAAAATGGACCAATTTTGTTGATTTTTTTAGCATATTAAAGATCGTTTTTCGTAGATTGATCTGATTTTTCTAAATTTTGTATGAGATTTAGTTTTCTATGATATACAGGGTGTGAAAAAAAAGAATGTAATTTTTGTAATTTATGTGTTGCTGCCATTTTGCTAAAAAACAAAATTTAATTAGAATTATAAGTTCTGGGTATAGCTAAGACTAATATCTCGAGACGTATTTGGAATTTTTGCGATAACTCATCGGGAATAAAAGATAATCAACTTTTACTCTAACTTGTATTTTTTCTACCTTTCTTAAGAGATATGCTAACAAAACTGAAATTAACTTTAAAATTGTAGGACATTCGTTACTTTCACAATGTGAAATTAAAAAAAATGATTTGACTAACGCAGTTTAATACAGGATTTCTTAAAAATACGACCAGCGAAAAAGTAAAATTATTTTTTTAATATTCTGAACTTAACAGCCCATAAGGTTAATATAAAAGGTCGACACGTATTTGATATTTTTGTAAACTGTAGTTTAGCTGCAACTTAGTAATTTTTTTTTTAATTTCACATTGTAAAAGTAACGAATATCCTACAATTTTAAAGTTAATTTCAGTTTTATTAGCATATCTCTTAAGAACGGTAGAAAAAATACAAGTTAGAGTAAAAATTGACTATCTTTTATTCCAGATGAGTTATCGTAAAAATTCCAAATACGTCCCGAGATATTAGTCTTAGCTATACCCAGCAGAACTTATAATTCTAGTTAAATTTTGTTCTTTGGCAAAATGGCAGCGACACAAAAATTACATTCCTTTTTTTCACACCCTGTATATCATAGAAAACTAAATTTCATACAAAATTTAGAAAAATCAGATCAATTTACGAAAACCGATCTTTAATATGCTAAAAAAATCAACAAAATTGGTCCATTTTTTTAAAAGTTACAACTTGTTGAAAATGAGTAAAAAAATCGCTGTGGTATTTAATTTGACGGGCAGTTTAGTTTACCAAACTTTAATTAGGTGGTACTACACATATAAATAAAAGAAAAAGTTCCTGTGAACATATTCCCTAAGCTCTTACAGCACTCACTAGAAATATATCTTGAAAATTTATAGAACT